CGTGGAGGCCGAGGCGCGTGGATTGCTCAGGTCAGAGTGTCAAGAACCAGCCTGAGCAAGACCGAAAAAAGTAGAGAGAAAGGTAATTGACCAAGCGTAAAAATAGTATACTAAGATTTCAGCCGGGCCATCGGTGGTCATGCTGTAAGTCCCAGCTACCACCGGGAATGCTGAGGCAAGGAGGATCACATTGAGCCCAGCGAAGTTTTGGAGGTTGCCTGTGCGACTATGGCTTGATCGCCATTGTGTCCATTTCTACATGCCCCTGGGCAATTCTTATCATTGTTGTATGTTACTCTGCTCAAAAAAAACAAAACAAAAAAAAAAAAAGAATAAGTTAATATATATATGAATGCCTTTCAGTTTATTTCAAGTTGATTTGTTGAACTTTCTTCTTTCTCATTTTCTCTCTTCCGACCAAGTGCATATTATTTAATGGGGAGTTCACCCGGGTATGAATCAGTCTTTCATTTCTCTTAATTTCTTATTAATGCGGTCATCCTGTGTCCTTTTAACTCTGTCCTCTAGCTCACAGCGTTGGTTTGGGTCTCGTGGTCCCCAGGTGTGTGGCACATGTGTAATTATGAGTTCTTCACTTTGTCCCCAGGGCTCCACACATGGGCACAATTCATGCACTCAAGGTAACTTCACTACTCACATAACAGTTAACCTTTACTGTAAAGCAAATTTTTGTGTTTTTTCTTTTTTGAGACAGAGTCTTTACTCTCGTTTGTGGTTAGAGTTCCTGGAGTCAGCCTACAGCTCATTAGCAACTGTCAAACTCCTGGCTCAAGCCGATCTCCTGCCTCAGCTTCCCCGAGTCAGCTGGACTCACAGGCATGTGCCACCATGCCCCGGCCTAAGTTTTTCTCTGATATATAGTATATTTATTGCCAATTAATTCTCTTCTAATTTTTACGTAAGAGACCGGGGGTCTTTTCCTCTTGCTCGAGGCTGGTCTTCAGCTCCTGAACCTTGAAACGATCCGTCCCACCTCGCCTCCCAGAGATTGCTAAGATTACAGGGCGTGAGCCACGCGCCGGGCCCGGCCTACTGTCAACAAACTAAATTCTAAGTGCCATGCTTAACACTTTATATGCATTATTTTATTTGAGCTTCAAAATAACTTTATTAGTTAAGTGATAGTTTTAATTTTCATCTTCAGTAAAGGAAACTTAGGCATGGGGTGTTTACCCAACTTGCCCAAGGTCATGATCTTAGCTCCAGAATAAACTTTGAGACTTTCCACTTGTAACTAGTTCTCACTGCCACCACCTTGGAATTCTATAATCTGGGGATGAAAACTGGGTCATATTCACTTTAGTGTCTATGTTAGAATTAGTCTGGAGTACCTAATATTAGGTTAGAGTATTCTCTAACCTTTTCTTTCACTCTTGCTCCTGAGATCTGTCTTCCACAGTATGACTGTGTTCCAGATATAACCATTGAAAAATGGAAATCAGATCACATCGGTCCACTGACTAAAATCTCTGCCTAAGTCTCTGACATCATCTCCCCTGCTCTGGCCTTGCTCACTGGCCGGTGGTCATTATCTTGAGTAAGGCTGGCTTTCTCCTCCTCAGGGCCTCTGCCTTCTGCTCACAATGCTTTATCCCCAGATTATTTGTCTTTGTGTCTTCTGCCCAGCCTTTATGCATTAGCATAAATGCTATTCATAGTTCTTAGCAAGGTGTTCCTTGACCAATCTAAAGTATATTTCCACCATCCCTGTTTATTATTAATATGTTACTGTGTTTTATTTTCTTCAAGATACCTGTCAATAGATATCATTATCCTAATTGTTTACTTGTTCACTATGTAAACATCCCTCCCCCCCTGAAACCAGAAGGTGAGTTATTGTCCACTGTTCGCTTTCCCAGAGCCATTAGACTACCTAATGCCTGGTAGATGTTTAATCAATAATCGTTAAAGAATGATGAATGAATGAATCTCCCAAAGCAATGAAGCACAAAACTCCTTTCTCCTTCCACCTCGAAACAGATAAAGCTCAATGAAATTAACCTCGGAAAGAAGCACCAAATTAACTCTTTCACAAACAGCCAGCTTGAATTCCAGTTTCATTAAGCTCAGCAAGCACACACACTGGGGTTTACCTGAGATCTTCTAACATCTGTCCCAACTGTGGTCACTGGCCTATAATACCTAAATAGAATCATACAGCAGGCTAGTTGGGTTTTAGATGCAGATCACATTTCTGACGCAGAGACTGTCCGACATTCTATCTAGGAGGGTAAATAAGGAGATTCTTTGCTTTCTGGAACCCACTCACGTTTGGCCAGATAACAAATGAGGAGGAAATAAGGCCACTTAGAAGGGAATTTAATAATATTTTCTATTTGTCAGGCCAGACTTTCCACTAGAAAGTAGTAAATAGTTTAAGTGAGGGACAACTAAAGAAATTGCTTTCACGTGAAAATTCAGAGGAGGAAGATACTGCTTTCACCTTCAAGAATTGGAGCACAGAGTAGAGAAAGGGCGATTGAGTTAAACCTTGAAGGATGCTACTAACCAAGAGTTTTTCTCTGCACAGCCCACAGAGCGAATAATTACTTTCTCCTCTGTGGTATGCTTCATCACTTTTATTATTCAATTTATAAATTAGATTGTAATTCTTGTTTCTGTCTACAAGTTATTATATGGTTTTGCACGATGGGGTTGTCTTATTAGCGCTGAATTCTCCAGAACCTGATAAAAAATAATATTGATAGCTGTAATAATAAGAAATAATAGAAAGGGTATTTGTGCATTCGGCTCAGGCCAACGTTTGGAGTGTGGTGTTGAGTCTGACTGATTTTAACTTCAGGCTGTGCCTCTTACCCTGGGTAAGTGACTTTGTTTCCCCTTTGTTTTGTTTGAGACAGAGGCTCAACTTCTTGTTGCCCAGGCTAGAGTGAGTGCCGTGGCGTCACCCTAGCTCACCAGCAACCCTCAGACTCCCTGGGCTCAAGCGATCCTCCTGTCTCAGCCTCCCAGAGTAGCCTGGGACTACAGGCATGGCGCCACCATGCCGGCCGCGCATTTTTTCCTATGTCATCATTTTTAGTTGGCCAATTAATGTTCTTCGCTGTTTGGTAGTAGAGACGGGGGAGGTCTCCCTTCCCTTGCTCGAGGCTGGTTTACTAAACGTCCTGACCTTGAGCAATCCTCCCTACCGAGGCCTCCAGAGTGCTAGGATTACAGGGTTGAGCCACCCTGGCGCCCCTGAGCCTTTGGGTAAGTGACTTTAGGGGGGTTTGACCAGATAAAATACAGGACACCCATGAAATCGAAGATTCAGATAACAACAATGAGCTATAATATTTTTTAAGCTATTCCCGGTACGATATTAGTAGGCATCACTTATGACAAAAATACTTAGCATAGGTTGACCTGAAATTTCCAAATGAACTGGGCAGTCCCATGTCATGTTTATTTGCTACCTCCCCTTAACAGTCCCCTAGTGATTTCCCCTGACCACGTTTTGTGACCCTGCCAACCGAGGTGGAATCAGGTAACTTTTTTTTGATACTAAATACTATAACACCTAAAGACCCTGCCTCTCCGTTGAACCTCAGTTTTACTCCCCCAATCAGCACACTTCGGA